GGCGCTGCTGGCCTGGGTCCTGAGGAATGACAGGAAGGGCATATTCCTGGCAGAGGGAACCACATGTACAAAGGCACAGTGACACTTAGGAGCCTGTGTGTGCAGGAACTAGAGCCGAGATCCACAGGGGAGAGTGGCAGCACGTGAGGCTGCAGATGTCAATGGGACCAGGACACCCCAGGCCTTGAATGCCCTGCTAAGATGTTGCCTTCTGGTCTGTAGACCATGGTCACTGTTATGGACAGATGGTCACAGCCTGGGACCCATGGCTATCCACTTATGGCTTGTCCATCCCCAGCTCACAGCTGACCACTGGGTGACAGAGGGGCCTGCTAATTGCACAGGGCAATAAAAGAAGGGGCAGGGACCTTAGAGATGGAGGAACAGAACTGAGTGTTGGTCCCAGCTCTGCACATTATGTGCTAGAGGGACTGATGCATACAGTTGGGCAGGTTGTGCGCTGCACAACTGCAGGGAAGCTGGCCACTCTGATATTTGTCAATAAGGGCCTGGAGTTACGCAGTGCACATGCCATGCAGCAGCACAAGGTAACCCCGAGGGGTATCTCGGCCTCAGTGTCACCATCTGCTCCATGGCAGTTATGACTGTCCAGAGCCAGCACGTGGTCCTCCCTCAGGGTCGGCCATAGTCCCCCAGGACTCCTCAGAGCTCCGTCAGGCAGGGCTGTTGGAGCTGGAGCCCTGGCACCCTGCTTGTCTCCCCCGCGCCCTGCTGTGCCCCTTCCTCTCCTGGGAGGTGACACTGGACACCTAGCCTTGAGCCTTGATTGCTTCGCTCTGTGTCAGGGTTTTCCCGACTGAAACTTCTGGGGCCTTTAGATTCCAGTTTATTGAGGGAAAAAAAAAGGCTGACGGCTGAATCTGGTTGAGACTGACTGTTGAATCTGGTTGAGACTGACGACTGTTGACTTCAGAACTTTGGCTCGAGGATGGGGTGGGGGTGGAGGTTGTCAAAAAACCCCAAATAAACAGAGTCTGCTTCCCAGCCATGGGGCCCACGGTTTTCCTGTGGAAAGAGGCAGTGGGAACCGCGTCCTCCTTTGCCCTGATTCATGGCTGATTCATCTGCGTGTTGGGAGGAGGAGCTGGAGCACGGAGGCCCCTGCCCCCACCCCACCACCCACCGAGGTCCGCTTAAAGGGACAGGGCCTGGTGGGGCCCTGCACGGGTGCCCCAGGCTCTGGGGTTGCCCAGACCCTGAAATCCACCAGACCTGGGCCAGCACCAGGCCTGTCCTCCCTCAGTGAATGATCTTCGCCTCTGAGCCTCAGTCTCCTGGGCCATAAAATGGGCCAGTGCTGCTGCTGTTGTGAGGCTGCTGGGAGACTTGGTTAATCAGCTGACCCACATTCTTTCCTCAGGGTGCTGTTTGCAGACCTACTGTGTGCTGGCTCAGACAGCATCAAGGAGGGCACCCTTGAACTTCTCTCCCTGCTCTCTGTCTTCCTCCCCTCCTCTCTCCGTCCCTCCTGCCCGCTCCATCCCTTCCTTCTGAAATGTCTCACCGTGTGTTGGTTACCACTGGGGTGTGGAGGCGAACCAGACGGTCTCTGTCCCAGAGGAGCCTGGGGTGTGGGGTGGGCACATGCGGGCTTCTCTTTGGAGACTCTGTGGGAAATGGGCCACCTCCCAGCGCAGCCCCACGGCCCTTCTGTCTCAGGCCTTGCTCTCCCGGCCTGTTTTGTTTTCTCTTTGCAAAATGAAAAAAAGTCACTCTAACTTCACCCCAACCCCAAATAACCACCATGTAGTAGAATTCCGATGTTTCCTGCAAGGTTTTTACTTAATGAGTATTTTACAGAGGGTTTAACAACGAATCGTCCCCTCTAAAATCGAGTGGCACCTATTTTAAGTAACCTCTGGGAGACCACACTGGGGAGAAAGTCCTTCCAGTGGAGACCGCAGTGCCGTGCAGATCTTCAGGTTGCTGGGTCAGAGTTCAGGGGCCCAGCAGCCCAGGGCCTTGAGGGGGTCCAGGGGCTCAGCTTTGGCCCCAGCTCTGCCGCCCCCCGTGGTGAGACCTGGGCCAGGTCAAGCAGGGGGTGGACAGGTTGCGGCCGAGAGAACTTTCTGGCCCTGGGTGATGGAGTGTCTGAGTCCAGGATGGAGACACACAGGAAGGCAGCCTTTTCTAATCACCTGTGGGAGGAGAGGCGCTGGCATTCCTCCTTCTGCTGTGCTCACACTGGTCCCAGGTACCCCTCTGCCGTGGCTGCCTGCACAGGCAATGTGGGCTCAGCCTATGGCTTTCCATGTGCTGTGCCCCTGCCCGTGGGCTCTTCCAGGCCTGGGTCAGGGCACCTCTGCACTCAGCCACCCCACGCCGGGCTCCCCTCTGCCTCATCCCTGGTGATGCTGTGCTGTCACTGGTCGGTTGCTGACTTGACCCTCGCCCCCAGCTGAACCACTGTGTCTCCAGCAGCCGTCACGGGGAGCACATGGAAGGCACCCTGCACGCACGGATTGAATAAGGCTGTGAGTGGGGCAGATTCGGTCCAGCTGGGGCTGCTGGGGGGCTGCCTAGAGGAGGCAGGATTAGGGCCGGGCCCAGGACAGGCCAGAGCATCTTGGTAGGGAGAGCAGAGAGAGGTCGTGCAGGTGGAGGTGTAGAGAAGTGGGCGATGAGCAGAAACTTGAGTCGGCAGCCGGACAAAGGCCACGTGGTGGGAGAGGCGATACGGTCCCGACTGGGAGCTGTGCCCATGCCCTGGTGCTTCTCCTCAGGTGAGGCACATGGGGCGCCAGCCTCAGGCCCCAGGGCACGCAGGGGAGCAGCAGACCCGCTGAGTCTTCCCTGGTGGAGGGAGGAGGGTCTGGGCCTGGGGGTTGCCCTGGGGTCCCTCTGGGTCATGGGAATTGCTGGTCTGAGGGCATCTTGTGAGAGCTCTGAAGCAGCTCTGAACCTCACCAGGGCAGCAGGCTTTGTGGCTGGTGTCCTTCCTCTCTACTTGGGGGCTAGAAAATGAACCCAAGTTCCCAAGGGCAGGGAGGAGGAGCGGACAGGCCTGGGCTGCTTTCTCGGGCCGCACAGCAGCTTCACCTCACCAAGGCAGCCGCCCGCTTTGTAGGTGTGGAGCAGAGCAGCACATCCCTCATGGAAGCAAACGTGGGCACAGAGAGCCCTGGGCCCACAGCAGGCCCTGCCCCTGGGGTGCTTGTTAACGTGACCTCTGAACCTGAGACCCCACTCTGCCGCAGTAGTTTGATCTATGAGGAGCCTCGTGGTGGCCGGCGCGTCTCCCAGCCAGGCTCTAGCCACCCCAGACAGGCGGCCTTTGATTCCGGCTGACTGAAGTGGACGAGCGCTGGTGTGGCTGGTGCCTGCGGGCCGGCTGAGAGGCAGACATCGGAAGTCTGGGAGACCCAACACCAGAGCTCGAGCCAACCCCCCAGGTCCCAGCTCAGGCTAAAGGGTTCTTCAGGGCCTTGGGGAGCCGCAAGGCAGAGGTGGGGGCACCCAGGGAAAGGAGCTCTGCGGCCTGCATTCAGATCCTGGTTCTCCCCTCCCAGTCACGTGTCCGTGGGCAGAGCGGTTCTTCTTATGGAGCCTCAGTGTCCCCACCTTTAAAATAGAGGCAAAGTTTCCTCCCCCAGCTGCCCCCGGAGAGTTGGGGAAATGAATTGGGATGTGCCTGGGGATTGCGTTTGCCCCGTGATGATTCCTGGAGCATGGACCACGGCCTGGGTCCTGCCCCGACAGTGGCATCCAGCAGCATGGACTGCAGCCGGGGCCCTGCCCCCACAGTGGCATCCACCATGGTACCTTCGTGCCTTTGGATGATCCAGAAAACCAGATTTTCCCTCGGTCCCCATGCTTGGCCGCTTCCCAGAGATCAAGAGGAACGTGGGCTGCAAAGCTGGACATTATGGACTGAGCCCTCTTTGCTCCCCATCGCCAAGGTGGCTGGGTGGCTGGGTACCGGGTGGGTGGGTAGCCCCCCGGGCAGGGACTCGAAGTTTGCAGTCCTCCATACGCAGTTCCCACAGATGTGGTAGGAGGGCATCTTCAGTCCCATTTTCCAGAGGAGGAGTTGAGGCCCAGAAAATCGAAGTGATTTGTCTGAGGCCACACAGCTAGAAAGCAGACAGGCCCAGCCGAACCCCTAGTGTGTGCAGCCTCCAGCCCAGTCTCATTCCGGGGCCCGGGAACCACAAGCGAGGCTGAGCAGTGTGCGTTCCAGATGGTGGGAACCAGAGAGATCCTGGCACAGACCCATGCAGGGAACCCTGAGGTCTGTGGGCCCCGTGCCACCGCATGCCTCAGGCCTGTGGTCCTGGCAGCCACAGCCCCCACTCCTGACGGCAGCAGGAATCTGAGCCCGGGAAGGGCCCAGAGAAGTTAGTGAACCATCTGGCCAGTTGGGCTGGGGTGTGGCCAAGTTAGACACCGATGTAGGGCCCTGTGGACTCAGAAATTGGCAGCCCTTTTGGCCCAGAGGGGCCACACTGTGTCCGGGCCCGGGTAGCTCATAAAGGTCACCCAGGGGTCTTCCACTACACCCCCGCCTGGACACTGCTCTAGCCCCAGGGCTCGGAGGGACCGGCTGGAGCCCATGAGGAGAGGGCCCGTTCTCTCCTGTAAGGGTATTGCTGCAGCATGAGGGAACAGACAAGGCCCGGGGGACGGACCCGAGATCCGGCCCCAGCCTCACTCCCGTGTGGCCCAGGACAATGTCCTAACCTCTCTCTGAGCCTCCTGGCCAGCCTGGCAGGGTCCCGTGAGAGGGCTGAGGAAGCCCAGAACGTGGAAGCCTTTTTAACCATTCTCAGGGTGGGCGAGCCCCCTTCCCAAATGCCTGGTGTCACTGCACTGCTGTGGGGTAGGGGGTCCCCAACGGGCTCAGTGTGGGCTGAGGCTGGCTGGGAACCGGGACAGGGGTCTCAGGAAGAGCCTCCTCCTCCTGCCCCCTGGGCATAGGCCTCTGGGAGCTGGCGGTATCAGGGTCTCACTGACACACCTGGCCCTTCCCGCCAGCGCAGGTCTCCGCCAGCTGAGCAGCCCGCGCTACAAATTCAACTTCATCGCCGACGTGGTGGAGAAGATCGCACCAGCCGTGGTCCACATAGAGCTCTTCCTGAGGTGGGTGGAGACTCCTCGCCCCTCTCCGCCTCCCGGTGTCCCCCGGCACGCCGGCCAGCTACTGGGGCCCAAACCAGGCTTGAAACTGGAGTGTCCTGGGGTCAGGCTGACCTCAGTCACATCTCCCAGCTGCCTGTGTGCCCCTGGGGAGCGTGACTCCACATCTGCTGGAGCTGTAGGCACCAAGAAGGTGCACAGCTGTGGGTCTTTGTCCCTTCATGCTGCCACCCATGCTACTGGGTTCCTGCAATGTGTTGGTCTTCCTGAGGGGCCGCGCAGTAAAGCAGACACAGAACCCAGTGGAGGAGATGCCGGGAGGCAGCAGGTGTGTGTGCAAGGAGCAGACGCACGGCAGGCAGAGAGCAGGGCTCGGGGCAGTGGGAACCGGGGACTCGGGAGGCCTCCCAAGCTGAGCCTGAAGTAGGCACCCTGGGAGCTGGGCCAGTGGCGCAGGGCAGTGGGGGCAGCTCAGCAAGCTCAGAGGCCATACGGGCCAGAGCAGGGAGGAACGAGGGCTGGGTGAGTGAACGCACGAATCAGTGCACGGACGAGTGAGGGAGGAATGAGTGAGTGAGGAAGTGGCAGAATGAATGAGTGAGGGAGGGAATGAGTGAATGTACAAGGGATGAGTAAAAGAATGAATGAATGAGTGGAGTTGGTCAACAGGGAAGCAGGATGTCCCAGCCCCATAGAGGAAGCGGTGTGTACCATGTGGCCTCACCCCCTCTCCTTGCAGATGCACAGGCAAAGCCTCCTCCCCTTCTTCCCGCAGTGCCTGCCCTGGTCCCTGCCACCATCCCCCACCTCCCCCATCACAGAGACCCTCTGAACTGCTTTGGGGGAGCCTTGCCCTCGGAACCTGCCACTGTGCAAACTGCCCAATGTCTGATCGCTCACACAGAACCCTGAGGGCTCGTCCCAGATTGACTTATATCCCATGGAAGCAGATGAATGACTCTTCTGAGGTTTAGAGTGTCTCTCCCACCCACCTTTCCCAGCCCTTTGGCCCGTGGGTGTGGACGGAGCTGGCAAACAGCCTGATGAGGAGGCCCCGGAACCGAGCCTCATTCCACCCTGATAGGGATCAGACGGCGGGTCCAGGCGGACAAGGAGCTGGCAATGAGCAGTCAGCAGAGGCCGCCAGCCAGGGCTCCAGGGACTTGCTTGTTTTCACCGCACTTTCCCTGAGGCCTTCAGCCTCCCCGTGACGAGGCTCCACTGCCCTAGGCCCGCCCCTGGGCACTAAGAATTTGGTGGCTCATCGGGAGATCCCAGGAGCGATTCCTGCTCCAGAACAGCCTCCCTGCTGGCTGGCTGGGCCTTGTCCTGTCCAAGCCCCTGTCGCTTGGCGTCACTGCCCCTCTGCCCTCCCCATCTCGGGCTCTTCAGCATAGGCTGTGCTCCTTGAATGGGGGTGCGAGAGCACACGACGGGCACCCAGCACCTCAGCGTCACATGCTCCACACCTGCTGGGAGCGCCCTGGGCTGTGGGCTGTGTGCTGTGTAGCCTGTTTCTCAAAACAACCCTGGGGGCACCACCCATGCAGAACCCATAGCCCTGGTTGCCACCCTGTCCAGTGCCCCATGCTGATGGGCCTCTCACTGCCCCCTTGGCAGCACACTGACCCCTCACTGCCCTTCCCTCGGGCCCCGGGCCCTGAGACGTGTCATTGAGGAAATTATAACTGGATGCGCTTAAGTGGCACTTTGCTGGCCTTCCAGGAGGTAGGGATGGGGGCAGCATCTTTGTGGAAGGCTCCGGCCACCAGGCTGTGAACCAGCTAATTACTGACTCACGCCCTGCTGGAAGCTGTTTCCACCTCAGAGCCTCCAGCGGCTGATGCCCTGAGTGGGTGGGTGAGACCCAGCAGACAAGATGAGACAGATGCTCGTCAGGCACAGGCCTCCCAGCTGTGACCCCTGACCTGAGGTCTGGATGTGGGCATTTTCTGCAGACCCTGCAGGTGCCAGGCCCTGGGAGGCACCCTGGGGCTTCCACAGGCCAAACAGGTACAGTTCCTACTCTGGGGCACACACGGAGTGGGGGTGGCAGAAGCTGGCTGCGGACGTGAGTGGACAGATGCTGGGGTCACCATGCAGGGTGGCTGAGCAGCCAGATGCCCAGGCTGCCTGGGGCAGACCCCTGCTATGCTCTTTGCCCGCCCGCCTGACCCAGGCAAGTAGTTCAGTGTCTCGGGACTCAGTTTTCTCACTGTGAAGACCTGAGAGTTAGGGACGACAGTAGTTTCTTGTGGCTGCCATAACCAAGTGCCACAGACCGCATGGCTTAAAATGACAGAGATGTTTGCTCCCATGGTTCTGGAGGCCAGAGGTCCTAATCAAGGTGTCGAGGTCCTAATCAAGCCAGGCTGCTTTCTTCTGGGGGATGTGGGGAGAGTGTCCCAGGCTCCTCTACTGGCTCTAGTGTTTTCCGCAGTCCTTGGTACACCTCTCTCTGCTCTCTGTCTCCATCATCTCATGGCCTACCCCTCTGTGAGTCTGCATTCCCGTCCTCTAAAGACACCGAGGACCCACCGTGATGTCACCGTAACTTCCTGACACCTGCAAAGACCCTGTTTCCAAATAAAGTCACATTCACGGGTCTATGGGGTTAGGACTTGGCCATATCTCTTGACAGGGACACAGCTCACCACAGCACCACCCTTGCAGGGTGCCCGTGAGCATTCGATGGCCGGCCTGCCTCAGAGGGAGTGCAGGGTGGCATTTGCTGCCATCCCTGGTCCTGTGGGTCACAGCGAAGCTCCTGTCCTTTGCAGAGACGTCACCTCCCTGCATGGGCTGAACGCTCCCATCCCTCCATGCTTTGTGTGTCACACATGGTTTCGGGCCCTGAGGGGGCCCATTTTCCTCGCTTATCTCTGCTAAGCAGCCTCAGGGAGTGAGTACCTGCTCTGGGCCAGGCCCCTCGCTGGGGTTGCGAAGGCTCCCACCCTGGAGAAGGTCTCAGGCTGTGTCTGGCATTCAGCCTCCTCCCCTGCTGGACGTGGGGCTGTGGCTTCTACTCAGACAGCTCTGGTGAGAACTGGGGACCGTTGCCCATTGGCAAACATCCGTGCAGACCCAGGCCAGCTCCACCCCATTCACAGAGAGCAGGGCCCAGGCTGGCCCAATCTGTTCTTGTGCACCCCTGCCCTCGGGGTGTCTAGGGCTCGGGTCCTGCATCTGCCGGCTGCCAGCACTGCCACATTTGGGGCTTTGGGCAGCTAGCCTGGTGGTGGGGGTGGAGGGAGGTGGGAATAAGCCTTTCCCAGCCCTCCCAGCGCTCACCCCCTCTGGATGATCAGGAATCTGCCCCAGCCTCTGGGGAGCCTCCGTTCCTGGGTACCTGCTAGAGCCCCGGCGGAGGATGCTGTGTGCGCAGTGGAGCTTCTCCCCTAGGGCCAATTATTGTCCTGTCTGTTGAGAGGCGTTTAAGAGCCCAGGCATCACCTGGGAGGTGTTGTTGTCCCATTTCCCATGTGGAGAGACCGAGGCTTAGAGAGCCTCATCGACCTGCCTACGGCAAGGCAGATAATAAGTGGGGCCTGGACTTGGGATTAGCATCCTGGTCTGTCTGGCTCCGTGCTCCGTAGTCAGCATGGCGAATGCAAGCTGGGAGTCATCTGACACGTCTCGGGCAGCCCGTCTCATCTCAGCAAATTGCAGCCGGAGGTGATCATCATCACCTCTTTATGGCTGTGACCGTGTGCAGGCGCCAGGGACTCGACCAGGTCACACGGCCAGGATTCAAATGGAGGCTTGAGGGACTCCAGACCTGTGTTCTGTCAGGCGTACACTGGCTCTGCTCCTCGCTGACCAGCCCCGCCGCTGCACCCAACTCTCCTGCATCCTAGCCCCACCCTAAACGCCTGCCTGTGTCTCCCTGGCTGCAGACACCCGCTGTTTGGCCGCAACGTGCCCCTGTCCAGCGGCTCTGGCTTCATCATGTCAGAGGCCGGCCTGATTATCACCAATGCCCACGTGGTGTCCAGCAACAACGCTGCCTCGGGCAGGCAGCAGCTCAAGGTGCAGCTACAGAATGGGGACTCCTATGAGGCCACCATCAAAGACATCGACAAGAAGTCGGACATCGCCACCATCAAGATCCATCCCAAGGTGGGTGGGCGTGGACGGAGGGGCACAAGCACCTGGGGCTGGGCATGGCGGCCTCTTCCCAGACGCCGGACCCCAGAGGCGAGCTAGCCTCATCTTCCATCGGTTAGTGGGAGGAACCGGGCCTAGGGAGGACTGGCACCTGGCCCAGGGTCACGGCTCAGAAAAGACCTGGAGCCCAGGTCTTTGGACTCCTTGCCCTGTGCTCCCTGAGCCACTAGATGCAGGACAGAGCCAGGAAGCGTGCAGCCCACAGTGGGTGGGCTGTGGCCCCGTATCACACCCCATGGAGGTGCTTCACTTTCCTACCTGGGCCCACTACTGGGGATGCACCTGCCCCGTGGGATGGCATCTGGGTGTGGGCGTGGAGGCCAGTGGGCTGCCGTAGGGAACACTTGGGACAGGGGCCCCATCCCTCCACCTTCACATCTGTACCTCCCACCAGCTGACCCACCGGAGGCCTGCACTGAGGCCCCCAGAATCCTCTTGTTCCTCCACTAGCTGTTTCCGGAAGGCCTGCTCTCAGCCAGGCGCTGACTGCACTCCTCTAGTTCTCACCCCAGGCCTGGGAGGAAAGGGCCTGTATGAGTCCATTTTCACACTGCTATAAAGAACTACCTGAGACTGGGTCATTTATGAAGAGAAGAGGCTTCGTTGACTCACAGTTCTGTAGGTTGTACAGGAAGCATGACCGGGAGGCCTCAGGAGACTTACAATCATGATGGAAGGCAAAGAGGAAGCAGGCACGTCTTCTCATGGCAGAGCTGGAGAGAGAGAGAGAGTGAAGGGAGATGTGTCACACACTTTTAAACCATCAGATCTCGTGAGAACTCACTACCACGAGAACAGCATGGGAGAAGTCTGCCCCCATGACCCCATCACCTCCCACCAGGCCCCTCCCCCAACACGTGGGGATTACAATTTCACATATTTGGGTGGAGACACAGAGCCAAGCCATATCACGGCCCTCATTATCTTGGGATTTCAGATGGGGTAACTGAGGCTTGGAAGTTAGGTAACTCGCCCAAGATCGCAGTGCACTGGAGCAGGGCCGGCCCACTCAGCTAGGACCCCGGCCTCCCTCCGGCTTGTTCTTGTCTTGCCCAATGCCATGGTTATGTGACCCTGGGGACCAGAGTCAAGTTACCTGCGGCCTCCCCGTGCCATGAGGTCACTGAGTCCCATGTCTCACACCAGCGCTGGACCCGGAGCTTCCCTCGGGCTGGGAAGTTCACCTTGGCTGGTTTGAATTTGGCTTCCTCTCTTTCTGAATGAAAGTTTACAGCATTTGTGATGAAGTCTTTTGCAAAGGGAGTTTCCTCTTGCCCCATCAAGGGAGAGGAGATTTAATGGTTCCAAGGAGTTCCCCTAATGGGGACCCTTCCCTGCTTTTCAGTCCTTTCACGGTTGCTATTGAGTCTGGGGGCACCTCCATTTTAAAGACAAGGAAACCCACTGAGGGGTGTGCTCAAGGACAGGAGTTGGCAAATTTTCTTTTCTTTCTTTTTTTTTTGAAATGGAGTTTCGCCCTTGTTGCCCAGGCTGGAGTGCAATGGCTGGAGATCTCGGCTCACCACAACCTCCACCTCCCAGGTTCAAGCGATTCTCTTGCCTCAGCCTCCCGAGTAGCTGGGGTTACAGGCATGTGCCACCATACCCGGCCAATTTTTTGTATTTTTAGTAGAGACGGGGTTTCTTCATGTTGGTCAGGCTGGTCTCGAACTCCTGACCACAGGTGATCCTCCCGCCTTGACCTCCCAAAGTGCTGGGATTATAGGCATGGGCCACCGCGCCCGCCCTTTTTTTTTTTTTTTTTTTTTTGAGCCGGGTTCTTGATCTGTCACCCAAGCTAGAGTGCAGTAGCAGGATCTCGGCTCACTGCAACCGCCACCTCCCAGGTTCAAGTGATTCTCCTGTCTCAGTCTCCTGAGTAGCTGTGACTACAGGTGCCTGCCACTACCCCCGGCTAATTTTTGTATTTTTAGTAGAGATGGGTTTCACCATGTTGGCCAGGCTAGTCTTGAACTTCTGACCTTAGGTCATCCCCCTGCCTTGGCCTCCCAAAGTGCTAGGATTACAGGAATGAGCTACTGTGCCCAGCCCCCAAATTTCCCTTCCCTTCCCTTCCTTTCCCTTCCCTCCCCTCCCTTCCCTTTCCTTCCTCTCTCCCTCCCTCCTCCCTCTCTCTTTCTTTTTTGTTTTTTTTTTTGTCAGGGTCTCACTCTGTTGCCCAGGCTGGAGTGCAGTGACACAATCACAGCTCACTGCAGCCTCAAACTCCTGGGCTCAAGGAATCCTCCCACCTTGGCCTTCCGAATAGCAGGGACTACAGGCACGCACCACCACACCTAGCTAGTTTTAAAATTTTTGGTAGAGACAAGATCTCGCTGTATTGCCCAGGCTGGTCTGCAACTCCTGGGCTCAAGCAATCTTCCTGCCTCGGCCTCTCAAAGCATTGGGATTACAGGCATGACCATGGTGCCCAGCCAACAAACTTTCCATGAAGCCAAATGGTAAATATTTTATCTTTGCAAGCCCTGTGGTCTGTCACAACCATGCATCTCTGCAGTGGCAAGAACGCAGCCATAGCTGCACAGGTGGGTGTGGCTGTGTTCCAGTAAAGCTTGATTCACAAAACAGGCAATGAGCGGCGTTTGGGCCTTGGGCCAGTTTGCAAACCCTGCTCAAGGACCCCCATGGGAAGAGGAGAGCGAGACTAGGGGCAGGTCTGTCTGTCCCCTGCCGGCGGCTGTGGCAGAATGCTGGCAGGACTGGGGGAGTGGTGTCCAGGTGGGGCTGAGCAGGATGCCCCACCAGCCACCTGTGGCAAATGGCTGCCAGCAGAGCTAGTGTGATTCACATCCTGCAGGCCCTGGTCAGCACCTATGGCTATGACCTGAGGTGGGAAACGCCCTCCTAGCCCCTAAGCATTAAATCGAGCCATGGGAAAGGCTCCTGACTCTCACCTGTGCACCCTGCTTGGGTGTAGGGAGGATGGACCGACCCTTCCCAGCTCACAGCCCTCACCTGTGCACTCTCCTTGGGTGGAGGGAAGATGGACCGACCCTTCCCAGCTCACGGACCTCATCTGTGCGCCCTCCTTGGGTGCAGGGAGGATGGGCTGACCCTTCCCAGCTCACAGCCTCACCTGTGCGCCCTCCTTGGGTGCAGGGAGGATTGGCCGACCCTCCCCAGTTCACAGCCTCACCTGTGCACCCTCCTTGGGTGCAGGGAGGATGGGCTGACCCTCCCCAGCCCGCAGCCCTCACCTGTGCACCCTCCTTGGGTGCAGGGAGGATGGGCCGACCCTCCCCAGCTCACGGCCTCCTGGAGTTTCAGACGTTGTTATTTCTGCCTCTTCGGCTGGTCAGCAATGGAAAATGTCATCTCTCCGGGACTTCGCCTTCCAATGTGCAGGCCCGGTTCCGCCACCTGGGGTTCTCTCTGCCATTGTCTGAAGCTCCTTGAGCCCCAGCGGCACAGAGAATAGAGAAGCGGCCTGAGCCTTTCCCTCACCAGCACCCGCCCACCAAGTGCTCCTTTAATCCTGCGCAGGACTCCACATCGCCCCCGTTATTGGTAGCTTTCTCCTCGTATTGAAAGCTAGAAACTTTCTCATTTGACATGATGGTGTATCATAAAAGGGAAGAGGACTGAAACGGTGAGAAGGACCAGTGGCCTGGTGGAGGGGAGCCGTCCAGAGGGTCAGAGGCTTGGGGTCCTGCCCCACTGATCTCCTGAGCTGGGGTGAGGCTCATGCGACCTGGCGGATCGCAGACCCACGGGAAGCTATAGGGTAGTGCCACAAGGTCCCAGGAGCCTTTCCCCAGCTTCCCTCAATGGTGACATCTTAGGTAATGGGTGCAAAACCAGAACCAGGAAGTTGATGTGGGTACGAGCACAGAACCGCCTTCCCCAAGTTACATGTGCATCTGTGCTTCGGCACCTTCTAACAAGCACCGGGGACCACCTTCTCAGAGTGTGCACCACGCAGCTTCTGGAACACAGAGGCCGGCTGCTCTCCGAGCTCCCAGCCTAGTTGCAGAGTCAGATAATCAGACAGGCTCCGCTGGCCCCACGCAAAAGCAGAACAGGAGTGTGCAGGTGTCTCAGCGTGCACAGCGGGAGCGGAGCTTGGCTAGTGGCTTCACCTCTCCAGGTCTGAGTCCCCGTGTGTCTGTATTGGAAGATGAGACTGAACTGGATCAAGGATTTCGAACCGGGGCTCCCGGAGTCCTTAGCTGGGCTCCCGGGGCCCGCAGATCTCTCTCCATCAAATGCGTCAGTTTGTGTGGGGTGCATATGCAGTAGTAGTTTTTACCAGGTGTCTGCAGCTTTTACCAGATTTTTAGAGGACAAGTGACCATCAGATCATTGGGTTCAATAACCTTGGAGGCTGTGGTCAGCTGCACCCTGTGTGCACCGCCCATGATGAGCACCCATGCCTGCCCTGGGGGAACCTTTGCTCCCTGGCACAGCTGAGCCTCTGTTCCATGGACTCCAGCCCTGGGTCTCAGCCCGGGTCTACCCTGGTCTTGGTCTGCACTGGTGACCTGCCTGAGCCTTCGCAGTCCTGATGGCTTTGCACAGATGTGCCTGCCTTCTCTGGGACCCCCCGTGCCAGGATCTGACTCCGGTCCCCACTGAACGTAGACGGCTAAGCCTCCCTCTCTGTGTCTTCTTCCCTCTTCTAGAAAAAGCTCCCTGTGTTGTTGCTGGGCCACTCAGCTGACCTGCGGCCTGGGGAGTTTGTGGTGGCCATCGGCAGTCCCTTCGCCCTGCAGAACACCGTGACAACGGGCATCGTCAGCACTGCCCAGCGGGAGGGCAGGGAGCTGGGCCTCCGGGACTCCGACATGGACTACATCCAGACAGACGCCATCATCAACGTGAGTCCCAGGGACGGGAGGCCGGGGCACCTGCCATCTGTGCCCAAGACCTCAACCTCAAGGTAGTCTCTGACTCGGCTTGCCCCCATCCCCAGAGCCATTCTGTCACTCGACACATCCACTTGCTAGAAAGTTCTCTCTTTACATTCAGTGGAGCTCTACTCCTGTGACTTCCACCCCAGGGTGCCAGTCACCCTGGGAGTCAGAGGCTGCTGTCTTTGCTCGGGCAGCCTTTCAGAGAAACAGGCATGGCCATGGCCTGGAAACACCTTTGCCCAGCTTACACACCCTGGCCAATGCTGCTTGTCATTATTATTGTGATTATGTTGCTGGCACCTTTAGCATCCACAAAGCACTTCACGCAGATGCCGCAGATCACGTCCATCCAGCTTTGCCGTGTCTCGGGCGCTTGGCTGGAAGGCTGGAATCTGAGTCTTTGTAGGAGGTCCCCCAGGCCAGCAGGATAGGAAGTAGCACCTCCATTCTCCATGCACCAGGTGGTGCTGCCCGGCCTCAAGGGTGTAGATGCCAAAGCATATGGTTTGTGCAGAGAACAGTAACAGTCAGACCTCGGTCATCAGGTGGCCGTCCACATGGCCTCTGTGGGCTTGGCCTTCTTATCTGTGAAACGGGGACAGCACTGAGGCCTTTCAATGCTACTGAGGATGAGATCTGCTTATGCGTCTCTGCACTGGTTAGAGGTAGAGCTGGAAGAAGGAGCTCCGGGAACCCTCGGGCGGGGTCAGGCACCGCTAATGCTGTTTCCTCCCCCTGCAGTACGGGAACTCCGGGGGACCGCTGGTGAACCTGGTAAGTGTCCCCTAGAGCCCAAATCTCTAGATTTCTGGGGCTCTTCTCACATGGGGGCGCTCAGCCTTGAGGCGGGACAGGCCCCACAATATGGTCCTAGAACATTAACACCAACTATCAGGAGTGCAGCTGGGCTGGAGGCCTGGAAGGAGGAAAGACCAGGGCTGCCCCAAGTGCCTCAGGGATGCTGGTGGCCGCCAGGAGTGAGGACTCACCCACGAGCAGCAGCTCAGTCCAGGAGCGTGTGCCTGTCAGGGGAGCTGGGGCAAGGGAGACGCAGGTGTGGGGCTGCTCACCCCAGCCCTCCCTGCCCTGGGTGTACACACAGGATGACAGGGGCACCCTCGTTCTCCCCTTCCCAGTTGTGTCTTGAGCCTGAAAGTCAAGCTCAGCCTCATCCCAGGTGAGATTTTTCCAGAATAAACCAGGAAGCTCAGTTCAGAGCTCCTAGGCCCTGAAGAATCGGATAGTCTCACCCCTGGAGCTCCTGTCCATGGCGGGGGAAGTGCCCAGGTGTGAACAAGGCCCAGCCCCATGTGAGCCACATGAGATGGCTCTGGAGGGATGCTGGGCAGGAAGACCTGGCAGCTGATGTGAGATCAGGGAGGGCTTCGTGGAGGTGAGCATTACACAACAGCGATTGAGATTGAAGAGGACTGGGTACAGGAGGAAGAAATCCCAGGGAGCAGGCACAGCATGAGCATTGGGGGAAGTTTAGGGAGGGGGAGATCAGACAAGGGGACAATGAAAGGGCTGGTGGCCCATGTCCTGCTGCCTCAGGCCTCGTGTGCAGATGGGGCTTCACCCTGTGTGCCCGAGATGTCTCCCAGGCTTTTGGCAGGGCTGAGGGCATGCCCTGGCTTCAAGGAAGCTCGTGTGTGTGGTTTAGGTTGGAGGCCAGGAAGCCAGGCCCAGGAGGCTGCTCCACGTGGTCTAGGCAGTAGCGATGGGCACAGAGGGCCAAGGGTGGACACAGAACTCAATCTACTGGATCTCACACTTGGCTGCTCTTCCTGCCTCCTGAGCTTCCAGGGACCAGGAGGACAAAGGGTGCCTTGACCCAAAGCTTTGCCTCAGGCCCCAGAGGGTCCCCTGATGAGCTGGCCAGGCCCTGGCTGGGAGGGCAGTGCTAGGGGTATATGCCAGGCTGTAGGGTGGGGCTCCTTTCCAGGAGCGGGCCTGAATGTGAGGTTCCCAGGGGCCAGGTCAGATCCTGCCCAGGTGGCACCAGCCTCATGGGGGGCAGGGCAGGTTGGGAGGGGCACCAAAGAGAGGGATGGGGCTCAAGGAGCTCCCCTGGCCCCACCTGTCAGCCCCTCACTTCTGGAAGGAAGGGATAGACATGGTCTCAGTCCCCGACACGCCTCACCATGTTCCTGCCTCTCTCGGTCCCTCCAAACATGGCTTGGCAGTGTCCCTGGTCCCATGGCCCTGCTTCTTAGAGGCAGAGTGGCCAGAGCCTGGGGGCAGGCCCAAGCTGCAAGCTTCCCTGGGAATACTCTCCAGGGATGGGAAGGGGGATCTCCAGGATTTGGAGAGGTGGGGGGTCACTGACCCAGGTGTGATCCTGAGAATGACCTTTTCAAGGGGAGTCAGGGGCTGTAGGGTGATTGACAGCCAGGGTCAGCCTCTAGCAACAGAGCTGCGGACACAGTGCTTTGTGGGCAGGGGTTTGCCTGAGTTCCTCCAACCAATGCCTGCTCTTACCTCCCTGCCCAGGATGGCGAGGTCATTGGCATCAACACGCTCAAGGTCACGGCTGGCATCTCCTTTGCCATCCCCTCGGACCGTATCACACGGTTCCTCACTGAGTTCCAAGACAAGCAGATCAAAGGTAAAGAGCTCACCTGGAGGGGCCAGAGGCAGGGGGCACTCTCCCAGGGCTACAGCCCCTTAGCACCCCAGTCCTGGGACCAAGGCCCATCAGAGGTGCTGGGTGAACCTTGCTCACTACTGGACAGGTCCTCTCTGCCCACCCCAAAGCTGTGAGACCCCCAGGACAGCTTATCCTCAGCCTCGTTCAGGATCTTCCCCCTGCCTATCATCAATTCATGGTCAGGTTCACCCCCTGCCCCTCCAAGGCTGTCTCCTTTTGGCTGGTGATCTCCAATCTCAGCCTCTACCATCAGCTTCTTGGAGTCCCTAAGCTGCTCTCATCTGGACTGCTCCTTAGTTGTCAGTGTTTCTTTCCTTCTATCCATCCATCCATCCACTCACCCACCCACCCACCTATCCACCCACCCATCCATTCACCCATCCATCCATCCATCTGTCCATCCATCCATCCATCCTTTCACCCACCCATCCATCTATCTATTCACCCATCCATTCACTCATCCATCTGTCCATCCATCCACCCGCCCACCCATCCACCCACACATCCATCCACCCACACACTGATCCATCCATCTACCCACCCACCCATCCACCCACCCATCCATCCGTCTCTCCATTCACCCATCCATTCACCTACCCACTCATCTATCCATCCGCCCATCCATCCAATCATCCATTCACCCATCCATCCATTCATCTACCCACTCATCCACCTATCCACCCACCCACCCATCCACCCACACAACCATCCATCCACCCACACACCCATCCACCCACCCATCCATCCATCTAACCATCCATCCAATCATCCATTCATCCACCCACCCATCCACCCATCCACCCATCCACCCACCCATCCACCCATCCATCCATCCATCCACCCATCAATCCACCATCCATCTACCCACACCTTTCTACCCATCTACCCATCCATCCACCCACCCATCCATCTACCCACCCATCTTTCCATTCACTCATTTACCATCTATCCATCCATCCATTCATCCATCCACCTATCCATCCATCCACCCATCTGTCCATCCACCCATATATCCATCCACCCATCCACCCAACCATTCACCCATTCATCTATTCACCTATCCATCATTCATCCACCCATCTATCCACCCACCCACCCATCTATTCACCTATCCATCATTCATCCACCCATCTATCCACCCACCCACCCACCCAGCCATTCACCCATCCATCCACCTGTCCATCCATCCATTCTATCCATCCATCCACCTCCATTCAACCAACCATTCATTTATCCTTCCACCCACCAATTCTTCCATCCATCCATCCATCCACCATCCATCCATTTACCCATTCATCCATCCATCCATCTACTCATCCATTCATCCACTCATGCACCCACCTGTCCACCCATTCACCCACCTGTCCACCATTTCTTCCTTCTTTTATTTTTTTCCTTTCTTTTTTCCTTCTCTCCTTCTTTCCACCCATCCACCCACCCACTCATTCACCTGTCTACCTATCCATCCATCCATCTGTCCACCCACCTGTCCCTCTATCCCTGTTCATCTATTCTTCCATCCTTCTACCCACTCCTGAGTACTCTCTCTTCCAGCCTGTGGCCCATGCAGATCACATGGTAGAATATCCTCTATGCCAGGGGAGCAGAGTCCAATACCCCGTCTTTGGAAGTCACCCTCCTCCAAGCCCCCGTTTCCTCACCCCCATCCAAAAGGGATGCCCAGCCCACCCTGCCCACTCCTAGACTGCCATGAGCACCCATCTGGGAGAGGTCTCGCCAGGGCACTAGGCAACTCTCCCAGGTAACAGCAGACCCATTGCCTCCTCAAGTGAGCAGTTGCAGCCACCTTCCAGAGCAGGGCCATGCTTCCAATCACAGGGCCTTTCCTGGGGGCCTCCACCTCCCCGCCTTCTCTTCAGCCCTAGTGAGCGTCTCCCTCCTGCCATTGTGTCTCCCATGCCCACCTCCTGCCCAACACCCAGGCCTGACTCAGCAACTCACACTTCCACATTGCTTTGCTGTCTCCTCCCAGCCCCCTCACTGGCAGTTCATTGAGAGCAGAGGCCTCCTCATGTTTGCCCCTCCTCCATGACCCTGTCAGCCAAGCACATGGACCCCAGTGCAGCCAAGGCCGGTGCCATGAGGGCTGGTCACATGAAGAGCTGCTGTTGAGGAAGCCACCATTGTCCTTCCGTGTCCATTATGGGAAGACAATCTGGAGCCAGGCAGAGCCTGTCTTGCCCAAAGAAGCTGAAGTCTTCTACTCTTGAACAGTGAGGACCATCTAATCTCTTGAGCCCTTTTCCTGTTGGCTTCTAGGAAGCTCAGAACTAGATTCAGGGATGTACCCACACCTGTCCTAGCGTGCTCCTTTCCCTAATGACCGAGCCTTTCCTGTTGAAGTATCCCATTCTCCATGGGTGCCTTTGACTTCAGCCTCCTTACTGGAAATTAGCAGAGCTGCAGTTTGCACACACTGAGCTATGAGGTGACTTTACTTGGAAGTGGATGATAGTGTCCTCTTCCCTTCTTGCCTCTCTCTTTCTCCTCTGAGACAGGATCCTGCCAGGGCCTGGGTTTGCTCCTTTGTTTTACAGGGACTGTCCCAGTTAGTGCTGACCTCATCCCAGACCCCCTAGGAGACATCCCCTGTCCTCAGAGCTGTATCCCCTCCCCAAGAACAGCACAGACTGAGGAGCCTGATAAACCTTAGCGGCATGGCACATTTGCAATTTTAAAATCCTTCTGAAGTTGACTGGTGTTTGTACTTCTTTTCTTTTTTATTTAATAAAATGCAATGATCCAAACCCAGTTAATCTAAAGTTCTTTGAAATGAACCATCTTTTTATTAAATCAAGGAGATGTTAAGTACATTTCTTATTCTTGTCTAGGGGTGGGGTGCAGAGGCCTCTGGGGGGCTTTCAGGGTAAAGAGTGGCCACCATGCATGTTGGGGGAGCCCCAGGAGGTCTTGGGGTCCAGCCAGCCTTAGGACCAGAGTGTAGCCCCACATGGGGTGATGTGGGGTGTTTGATTCATGGAGTAGGGCCGTTTGTGGGCATCTGCCCCTCTGTGGATTATGGGGGACAGTGCAGTTCATAGGTGGGAGACCTCTGACCTGGGGGGTAAACCCCTCATTTATCCTGTGGCCCACGAGCCAAGGGAGAGCTGTAGGGAGGGGACAGGGACAGGGACAGGGGCATGAGCGTTCCCTGGTCTCAGACATCACAGAGTTCCCAGATCTCTGACATTACAGGATTCCCCGATCTCAGAGACCATAGGGTTCTCAGAAGTCACAGGGAACCCTGGTCTCAAAAACTGTAAGTTTCCCTGGTCTCAGAAGTCACAGTGTTCCCCAGTCTCAGAGGTCACAGGGTCACTTGGTCTCAGAAGCCATAAGGTCCCCTGGTCTCAGGCCCCTGTGCTGGGTGGAGTCCTGAGTCCTTCCCAATAGTGGAAAAGGCTGGCCGAGGCAGCCCAGCCACCTGGCAGCAGCAGGGCCGGGAGCAGGATGGGCAGGGAGCCTGGTGGCCTGGTGCTTGGTGTGTGTTCTGCTCACCTCTTAAGTTCAAGGAGAAGAGGCTTTAGAGTCTCCAATCCTGAGCACAGCCAGTCGCTTTCCTCAGCTCCGGCCCAGAGGCATTACCGGGCCTCTGCTTTCCCAGCCGCACGGTGAGTCTAAGTCGGACGGGACCACAGGCATTGTTCAAGTGTCGGCTCTGTGCCTTGGACTCCTGTGGGCTGTGAGCCAGAGATTTTCCCGTTTTCCCTTCCATTTTCCTTCTAGCAGGGAGACGGGCCACAAAAATGCCCCCAGATGCCACAGATAAGAGTGAGGGGTGCTGGGAGGAGGCCGGGGCAGGGCTGGGGCCTCGAGGGTGAGGGCTGCACGAGGGGGCAGGAGACCTCTCTGAGGAGGTGACCCAACTCCACCAGAGACTGTGGGAAGGGAGCGGGGCAGGCTCTGGAGATTGCAGAGGACTCCCAGGCAGTGGGAGCGGGAAGGGTCGATGTCTCAGGTGGGCTGTGCGGGGCCTGTTGAGGATCCCATGCCCTGGATTTAGAAGCCAGCTAGAGAGTGATCCCCCGGATTTACGCCTCCAGCCTGGCCCCTCCCACTCCAGGCTCGGACGGGCAGCTGCTTGTGGGACGGCCCCACCGATGTCCAGGGGCAGTTCCCACTCAGAGCACCTGACAAGACCCCGCTCCTGCAGCCCCAGCTGCCGTCCCCACTCAGTTACGTCAGCCTTGTCCCTCTGTCCCCCACACACCTCATCCGCTGTCAGCGAGTCCGTTGGTCCAGGCTTCAGGACGCATCCACCCCGGGCCTTGCCACCGCTCCACCTCCACCTCCACCTCCGGGTCCAGCGCTGGGGCACTCGCTGCCCTGGACCATCACCTCTCTGGGTTCCTCCGGATGCTGCCCCATGCCCCACAGACCCTCCCACAGCCAGAGAGGCCCTTTCAAAACTAAAGGCAGATCACGTCTGGTGATTCAAGATCAAATCCAAAGCCTTCCAGGACCCAGTGGACCCAGGGGTCAGGCTTACCGGCCAGCTCTGACCCCATCTCCCACATGGCTTGTTCATCAACTGTTCATCTTTGGTGTGTTTAAATATTTGGCCCATTAAAAGCATTTAGGTTATGTGTGTTCTTATTAGTAGGTTGTGAGAGTTCTTTCTACATTCTGGATAGGAATCCTTTATCAGATAAGCAAATTGCAAATATTTTCTCCCAGTCTGTGGCTTGTCTTTTCATTCTCTGAACAGTGTCTTTAAAGAGCAGAAGTTTTGTAAATTGTGATGAAGTGTGTTTTCCCAATTTGTCATGCATTTGGTGTTGTGTCTACGAAGTCTTTGCTAACCCAAGATCAGAAAGATTTTTCTCCCACGATTTCTTCAAGAAGTTTTACTTTTTGAGGTTTCAGATTTAGGACTACGATGCATTTTGAATTTGTATATTTTTAAATAGTGCAAAGTATAGATCGAAGTTTCGGGGGTTTTTGTTGTTTTTGCCTTGGAAATTCAATTGTTCTAGCACCATCTGTTGAAAGACTGTTCTCTACTGAAGTGCCTTCACACCGTTGTCAAAAAGAGAATGACCATATGCCATTCCAGCTGTCTGTCTTCAGGCCAATATTCAGTATTGCACTGGCTCGATTACTGTGGCCTCACAGTAGGTCTAAAAGGCAGGTGATGTGAGTCCCCTGACTTTATTCTTCCTTTTCCAAGTTGCATGGGCTCCTCAGACCCTTTGCATTTCTATATGAATTTCAGAATAAGCTTGTCAATTTCTATATAAAGAAAAATAAAGCCTGCTGATGATCTGATGGGGATTGCATTGAATTTGCAGATCAATGTGGGGAAATTTGGCATTTTAACCATGGTAACTCTTCTGACCCATGAATACAGAATACCTCTCCATTTATTTACATCTTCTTTAACTTCTCTCTGCAATGTTTTATAGTTTTCAGTGTACTGGTTTTGGGGCATTTTTCATCAGATTTATTCATAAGTATTTCTTAATTTTGATGCTACTATAAATGATGTATTCTTTGAAATTTCAGTTTCTGGTGGTTGGTTAAGAGAATATTCAAATTAAAATGATTTTTGGATGTTCACCATAAGATATCCTGTAAGCTCGATAACTCACTGCTTCTAGAAACTTTTTTTGTAGATTCCATCAGATTTACTACATACATGGCTATACAGTCTGTGAATAAAGACAGTTTTACTTCTTCCTTTCCAATCTGAATGCTTTTTTTCCTCTTGCCTGGCTAGAACTTCCAGTAAAATATTGAATGAAAGAGGTAAGAGCGAACATCTTTGTCTCGTTCCTGATCTTGGAGAGAAAAGCACTCAGTCTTTCTCCATTGAGTATGACGCTAGCTAAAAACTTGCATAGGTATCCTCTATCAGGTTGAAAAGTTCCCTTCTGTTTCTGGTTTTTATTGGGAATGGATGTTACATTTTGTTAGAGGCTTTTTGTGCATCTCTGGAGATGATCATATGGTTTTCTTTTCTAGTCTGTTAATGTGGTAAATTGCATTGGTTGATTTTTAAATGTTAAACCAAGTGTACATTCCTGGGATGAACCTCATTTATCACTTATTTATGATGTATTATCTTTTTTTTTTTTTTTTTTTTTTTTTGAGATGGAGTCTCACTCTGTCCCCCAGGCTGGAGTGGAGTAGTATAATCTTGGCTCACTGCAACCTCTGCCTCCCAGGCTCAAGTGATTCTCCTGCCTCAGCCTCCTATGTAGCTGGGATTACAGGTGCCCACCATCATGCCCAGATAATTTTTGTATTTTTGGGAAAGATGGGGTTTCACCACGTTGGCCAGGCTGGTCTCGAACTCCTGACCTTAGGTGATCTGCCTACCTTGGTCTCCCAAAGTGCTGGGATTACAGGTATAAGCCACCATGCCTGGCTGTACTATCCTTTTTAATGTATTGTTGGATTTTATTTGTTTAAAGAATTTTTGTATCTGTTTTCATGAGCGATATTGGTCTAGTTTTCTCTTCTGGTTGTTGTATCCAGATAATGAGGTTAGAAGTAGTCACTCATTTTCAGTTTTCGGGTGGAGTTTGTATAGAATTAATACTACTTCTTCCTTAAACATCTGGTAGAATTCGCCAGTGAGCTCTTTTGGGCTTGAAGTTTTTTTGTAGGAAGATTTTTTAACTCCAAATTCAATTTCTTTAATAGATATAGTGCTATTTGAGTGATCTGTTTCTTCTTGAATGAGCTTTGGTGGTTTGGAAATTTCAAGAAATTTGCTTCTTTTATCTAAGTGATTAAATTCATTGACGTCAAGTTGTTCATAATAATCTCTTATTATTCTTTTAGTATCTTTAGAATCTGTAGTGATGTCACCTCTGTAATTCATGATATTGAAAACTGTGTCTTTTTGTCATGATCAATCTTGCTAAAGATTTATCAATTTTATTGATCTCAAAGAATCAGCTTTTAGTTTTTATTTTCACTGTTATGTTTCTTTGACTTACATTCTTATCTTTATTTCATTGATTTATACTATTGATTTCATTGATTCACACTCAACTTTATTATTATTATTATTATTATTATTATTTGAGACGGAGTCTTGCTCTGTCACCCAGGCTGGAGTGCAGTGGCCAGATCTCAGCTCGCTGCAAGCTCCGCCTCCTGGGTTTACGCAATTCTCCTGCCTCAGCCTTCCGAGTAGCTGGGACTACAGGCGCCGGCCACCTTGCCCGGCTAGTTTTTTGTATTTTTTTTTAGTAGAGATGGGGTTTCACCGTGTTAGCCAGGATGGTCTCGATCTCCTGACCTCGTGATCCGCCCGTCTCGGCCTCCCAAAGTGCTGGGATTACAGGCTTGAGCCACCGCGCCTGGCCTCAGCTTTATTATTGATTCACACTCAGCTTTATTGATTCACACTCATCTTTATTATTGAGTCACATTATCAGCTTTGTTATTGATTCACATGCATCTTTATTATTGAGTTACACTCATCTTTATTGATTCACACTCATCTTTATTATTGAGTCACACTCTGAGCTTTATTACTGATTCATACTATCAGGTTTATTATTGATTCACACTCTCAGCTTTAGTATTGACTCATACTCTCAGCTTTATTGAATCACACTCTCAGCTTTGAGTCACACTCTCAGCTTTATTGATTCACACTCTTACCTTTATTATTAATTCACACTCTCAACTTTATTATTGATTCATACTTTTAGCTTTATTATTTTTTTCTTCTGGTTATTCTGGGTTTTATTTGGTCTTTTTCTAGTTTTTAAGATGGAAACTGAGGTTATTGATTTGAAACTTATTTTCTAACATAGGCACTTCAGTACTATTAATTTCCCTCTACCTCTACAACCTATGAATTTTAATATATTATACATTCATTTTTATTTGGTTGAACAGAGTTTCTAATTTCTCTTTTTACTTATCTGAAGATGAGTAATTTAGAGTGTTTTATTTAGTTTCCAAGTACTTGGGAATTTTCCAGATACCTATTGTTGATTTCTAATTGTGGTCAGAACTCTTATATAAAATGAAAATTCTAAATTTATTGACTCTTGTTTATTTCTGGGTCTGAGACACCTGTTAAGTCACAGATTGGAGCAGCTCGGGGGATGGAGACAGTATCTCAGTGAGCTGTGTGTGCAGTGCCCCAGCCACAGGGCCTGGCAAATGGTTGGTATTCAGTGGACATTAGCAGCGAGTATTGTTTTGGGGAAGGCCAGTGGGAGGTGATGAGTTCAGTTCCAAGCAGGGAACATTTGGGGAACCAGCAGTATGCAAGCCAGAAAGGAGAGCCCCGCTGGCCACTGGGGTTGGGTTGGAGCTCACGTGGTTGGATGCAGGATGGGGTGGACATGAAGCCACCTGTGGGGCGAGCACGCTAGAGCTAGAACACCCCTCAGCTCCATGATGACGGTCAGGAGAGGGCAGCTTCGCCGGACCACAGGGGAACTGGGCTGGCTTAAGCAGAATGACACCTGCTGCTTCCTGGTCCTGCAGGGAAACTTCTGTCCTCTGCCTGTCCTCTGAGGGAGGGTGGCGGCTTTTTGCAGCAGCCCTAACAGAGTCTCGCCGTGTTTCATTTCCAGACTGGAAGAAGCGCTTCATCGGCATACGGATGCGGACGATCACACCAAGGCGAGTATCTGAAGAGTGCTGTCCCCTGCTGCCCCTTCCTCTCGTCCCTCACCCTGGCCCTCCCTCCAGACCCTGGCTGGCTGTGCTCGGCTCCTTGCAGGTGCCCAGATGGGCCAATGCACTCAGGCCTCTGATTGTTGCTCAGGCCGGTCCTTGTGCTTGGACTTTTCCCTCTTTGCCTTATAGATTCCTTCTGTTCTTTCAGGACGCCATCTCTTTCCCGTGGCTGCTATAACAAATTACTATAAGCCTGGTGGCTTAAAACAGCAGAAGTGTGTTTCCTCTCAGTTCCGGAAGTAGGAGGTCTGAAGTCAAGGGGTCAGCAGGGCTGCACTGCCTCTGAGGCTCCACGGAAAGCTACTTCCTTGCCCCTTCCAGCTTCTGCTGGCTCCAGGTGTCCTTGGCTTGTGGCTCTCTCCCTGCAGTCTCTGCCTCTGTCTTCACTTGACCTTCTTTCTCTCTGAATATCTGTGTGCACATCTCTCTCCTGTTTCTCTTATGAAAACATCCATCGTTGGAGTTAGGGCTTACTCTAAACCAAGAAGGTCTCATCTCAAGATCTTCAACTAATGACATCTATAAAGGTCCTATTTCCAAACAAGGTCACATTCTGAGGTTCTGGGTGTATGTGAATTTGGGGGCACACCATTCTGCATTCTCAGGACACTCAAGTGGGATAAGGTGCCTCCTCGTAGCACACAGAGCCCTGGCCTCCCTCCCCAGCCTTGAACTCATCCTGCTGTGTCGGAATCACCTGTGTTGGGACAGCCCCACCCCATCCTGCCTCCTCGGCTGTCGGCTCCTTGGGAGGAATGACCTGCTCATTCCTCCGCTCTGCCCCAATACTAGGTCCACCGCAGAGCAGGTGCCTAGAAATGCTGAACGAGTGCAAGAAAGAAGGGGCTGGGGGAGAGGAAGTGGGGGCAGGATAGAAGGGAGGCTGGAAATGCAAAGTTGAGCTTCGAGGTTTGAAGAAGGGAGAGGTCACTGCATTGGGAGCCTAGGAAGAACTCAAGAATGCTCAAGCGACCATTTCCTCGAACAACACAGTCCCTAAAGCTGTCATTCCTCCTGTTTCACCAACTCTGCTAATCTAGGGGTGACATTTGAAAAAAATTATAATCAACATTCAGTACACCAATTTATATTTTGTTTTTTCTGTCTCTTTTATCTGTCTGTCCATCCCACCTCTGTCCAGTCTTCTGTCTGTCCGTTCCATGACTCAGCATTGTCTGTCCGTTCCATGACTCAGCATCATCTGTCCGTTCCATGACTCAGCATTGGCTGTCCATTCCATGACTCAGCATCGCCTGTCTGTCCATTTCTCCTTCTATCCACCCATCCATCATCATTCCTTCTTCCATCCATCCATCTATCCTTCCGCCCCTCCTCACACCTATCCACCCACTCTTTCCTCTCTTCACGCTTCTAACCAGCCATTGCTACCACATTTCTCTTGAGAAGCACATCTGGTAGGGGACACAGAGTGGCCAGTGGTGGGACAGGGCAGTGTGGGGGCCCAGAGGAGGCTCCTCTTCTGGCCTGATGCTGGAGGGAGGGAGGGGCAGCTTCATACCAAGGAGCTGGGCAAAGGCTCAGAGGAGGGGCCTTGACAGCAGACTCTTTCCAGCCTGGTGGATGAGCTGAAGGCCAGCAACCCAGATTTCCCAGAGGTCAGCAGTGGAATTTACGTGCAAGAGGTTACGCCGAATTCGCCTTCTCAGAGGTAGGCTCTGCCAGAGGAGACAGGGAGATTGCTGGAGGCATGGGGCAGGTGTGAGGTCTGGGCTGGGACTGCCGCACTGTTCTCATGTGACCTTGAGCTTCCCAGCAAAGTGACGGGGAAGGGGCAGGTGAATTCTAGTGTGTCTGCTAAGCCAGGGGAGGCTGGAGAGCTGAATGGTCCCTAGAGCCCTGACCGTGTCCATCCTAAGTCCACAATGTCGTTTCCTTCAAGAAGCAGAGACTGAGGAGTACCTGTTGGGCTAAGAGCCCGCTCTAAGCCAGACTCTTCCACCAGCTGCGGACCAGCCTGAGTCCTGGGTCTTTCTGGAACTCACCTTCTCATTGTAAAATGGAGATAATTTAGCCTTTTTTTTTTTTTTTGAGACAGAGTCTCACTCTTGTTGCCCAGGCTGGAGTGCAGTGCCGCAATCTCAGCTCACTGCAACCTCTGCCTCCCAGGCTCAAGCGATTCTGCTACCTCAGTCTTCTGAGTAGCTCGGATTACAGGTGCCCGCCACCACGCCTGCTAAGTTTTTTTGCATTTTTAGTAGAGACACGGTTTCACCATGTTGGCCAGGCTGGTCTTGAACTCCTGACCTCAGGCGATCCGCCTGCCTTGGCCTCCCAAAGTGCTGGGATTTCTACCCCCAGGAGACTTTGTAGATGAAATGGATAAAGCACTGCTTTCTTTGAAGTCTTCCAGTACTAGAGAAATGTTAAGCATTGCAACACCATAGGCTGAGGCAGGCGTGCAGCGACACTACCACACGCTGGCATGGCTGACCCACCCCTAGGAAGGGCTCTGAACCAGTCGCCTCCACTCCTTGGCCTCGGTCTTCATCTGCGGTGGGAAAAATCCACGTATAAGTAGATCCACACAGTTCAAACCCATGTTGTTCAAGGGCCAACTGTACTGTGCGTCCTCAGAGGCTAGGCTTGAGGGTGGGAGGCCCTGCGTGACCTTCCGCGATGAGCACACATGGCACACGAGCCCTGCCCACAGCAGGCCTGCAGTAAAAATTGTTGAGATGGTGTAAGATTTTCCATACGCATCATCTCAGTTAATCCTCACTGCAGCCAGGGATTTGCAGGCTCTTGCTCTCACCCATTTTACACATGGAGGGACTGAGGTTTAGAGAAGTTACTCTTCCGGGTCACACAGCTGGCATGTGTGGGTCCTGATGCTGGTGCCCATGCCACTGAGCATGGTACCATCACCTTCCTTCCTGGCAGTGGGGAGGTCTCAGTGAACCTCATGCAGAAGGAAGGCCGGCCCCGCGAGCTCTGCCTGTCACATAGAAGTCTTCGTAACTGCGGTAACAGCAGTACCTGCTCCTGGGCCTTTGTAATTTGCAAAGCACATTTCCACATAGGACTGTAGACCTGAAAACTGAGGCTCAAGGGGACAGAGTGCCTGGCCCAGCTAGAAGGGCTGCAGCGGGAGCTTGAACCCTCCCTTCTGAGGCATGGGAGAAGCAGTTTGAAAGGTCGTTTGCCTGTCATGTGACACTGGATTTCTTCTGGTGTGAGAGCTTTGGGGCCAGGGCACTGTTCTTTCCCATCGAAACGACTTTTGTTAAAATGTTGTCATTGACCCTGACTGTGCCTCGCCCTGGGCTGGGCCTGGGAAGGCTGTGCCTGTGGAGGCTGTGGGTGGTGACCCCGTCTCTCCTGTTGGCAGAGGCGGCATCCAAGATGGTGACATCATCGTCAAGGTCAACGGGCGTCCTCTGGTGGACTCGAGTGAGCTGCAGGAGGCCGTGCTGACCGAGTCTCCTCTCCTGCTGGAGGTGCGGCGGGGGAACGACGACCTCCTCTTCAGCATCGCACCCGAGGTGGTCATGTGAGGGGGCGCATTCCTCCAGCGCCACGCGCCAGAGCCTGCAGATAACGGAGGGCACCGCTCCCCGAGATCAGGACGAAGGACCACCATCGGTCCTCAGCAGGGTGGCAGCCTTCTCCTGGCTGTCCAGGGCAGAGCGGAGGCTGGGCTTGGCCAGGGGCCCGAATTTCCGCCTGGGGAGTATTGGATCCACCTCCCAGTGCAGGGAGGGAAGCCCAACATCCCCTTGTACAGATGCTCCTGAAAGTCACTTCCAGGTTCTCGGGATATTTCACAAAACTGCCTTCCTGGAGGTCCCCTCCTCTCCTAGCTTCCCGCCTCCGCCCCTGTGAACACCCATCTGCAGTACCCCCGCTCCTGCCCCTCCTACTGCAGGTCTGGGCTGCCAAGCTTCTTCCCCACTGACAAACGCCCACCTGACCTGAGGCCCCAGCTTCCCTCTGCCCCAGGACTTACCAAGCTGTAGGGCCGGGGCTGCTGCCAGCCAGCCTGGGGTCCCTGGAGGACAGGTCACATCTGATCCCTTCGGGGTGGGGGGTCCAGCCCAGAGCAGGCACTGAGTGAATGCCCCCTGGCTGTGGAGCTGAGCCCCGCCCTGCTGTGAGGTTTTCCTCCCCAGGCAGGCAGGAGGCCACGGGGAGCACGTGGAAAGTTGGCTGCTGCCTGGGGAAGCTTCTCCTCCCCAAGATGGTCATGGCGCGGCCTGCAGAGGACAGTGGACATGGAACTGTGGGGTGTGAGGACTGAGCCGGCTTCCCCTTCCCACGCAGCTCTGGGATGCAGCAGCTGCTCGCATAGAAGTGCCGCCCAGAGGCAAGCGGGCTCCTGGGCATCACCCCCCTCATCCAGGGAACAAGTGTGTCTCAAGGGGCATTTGTGAGCTTTGCTGTAAAACAGATTCCCAGTGTCGCTTGTACTGTATGTTTCTCTACTGTATGGAAAATAAAGTTTACAAGCACATGGTTCTCAGCCAGCAGGGCACTGGGGCAGCCTGCCCACCACTGGCCAGGGTTCTTCCTGGGGATCCATCTAACACATGACTGGGTATACCTGCAAAGACACGGGCCTTTAAAGGGTTTCTATGACAGCCGAGCACTGGGGCACACCAGGCCTCAGGGTCATGTGGCTCTGCGGAGGGCCGGCTCCAAGTCAGGCAGCCCGGCTCAAGTCCTGGCTCCTCCACTTACTTCCAGCTTCATGGTCTTGGGCAAGAGATGTCCCTCTCCCTGCTGTGACCTCTGCCTCTGTCCAACAGGAAGGCTGGCTCTGCTGCGCTGACCTCCTGGTCGCCCCAGGATGCAAGGTGACGGGTGCAGCACTTGGGAAGCCACCCAGCTTACGGGGAGCTCCCACTAAGCCCCACTATGCATGTCTGGTCACATGAAGAACCCTTTCCCACATCTGTGCTATTTCACCCTCCCTGCCACCCACCCAGCAATGGGGAAACTGAGGCAGAGAGCGATTTCAACGAGCAGGAGGTCCAGGGACACTGCCTAGAGTAGCTGGAAGCAGAGCACTGGGAGCCGTGAACTTGCCCCCAACCCTCTGCTCCACCCAGAGTGGGCCACCCCACCAGGCCCCGAGCCACTCTGGCCCCATCTAGGCTTCCATCCACCTGCCAGGCTCAGGCAGCCATGTCCACCCTCCAGGCCCTGCTCTCACTCCCACCTGCAGCCAGGGCTCTCCACACACACAGTGGCCCCAGAGAGTAGGCCCTTGTCCCCTGAGTCTTTGGGCCCTGGCTAAGAGGAGCCTATTGGGTGTTGGGGGACTGAGGTTGGGAAGAGGGCATGGAGAGCTGTGACCTTACCAATTATTGGAGAGGCGAGTGCTTGGGAGAGCGTCAGGGGCCACCAGGGAAACCATGACCCCCATTCCCACAGCTCTTCCAAATCTGAAGGGTCAGGGGTCACTCTAGTGATTTCTGGGGTCCTGTGGGTTCTAGGGGAACTGGGTCTGGGGATTCTGCCCATTCACACTGTCCCTGCATCAGTACCCATCACATGAAGCCACTTATCCCTTGACAACTGTTCCCACCTTGTGGGAGACAAGCCCTGACACCCCAGCTCAGACCACCTTCTCAACCCCGTGTCTGCCCCGCAAATGCCTCAGGGGAGAGTGGACCACAAACCCACCCACCCACTCACTCACAGACGGGCTGTGCTCTCCTGGCTCTGTCTGGGTCACGTTCACCTTGCAGCCTGGCTTCGGAGTCCCGAGATTCGTTGCAGGGGCCTGAGGAGCACAGCGGGGCTGTGAGGTCAGGAGGCTGATTTCTTTCTTTTTTTTTAAGATGGAGTTTCACTCTGTCACCCGGTGGTGTGTTCTTAACTCATTACAACCTCCGCCTCCCGGGTTCAAGCGATTCTCCTGCCTCAGCCTCCCAAGTAGCTGGGACTACAGGTGCCCACCACCATACCTGGCTAATGTTTGTATTTTTAGTAGAGACGGGGTTTCACCATATTGCCAGGTGACCTTGTGATCCACCTGCCTCGGCCTCCCAAAGTGCTGGGATTACACGTGGCTCACGGCCACCGTGCCCGGCCCATGATGTTGTTTTCCTAACAGTTTGGGTTCCATTGAAGGAGATAAACTGGCTGTGTGAGCACTGAATTAAACAGCGTGAGGAGGATCCTATTCACACTCTTCACACTCCAGGCCAGAATGTGCCCCCGAGATGTTGCCTCCCACCACCCTCCTGCTCTCTGCCCCAGGCTTCGAATGACCATGGCCTCCGGATGCCCATCTGTGAAGCGGGGAGGTGGGCGGGGGTCTCTGAGCTTGGGAGTGAGCAGGCCTGGGCTGTGGTCCCAGTTCTGACACCCTTGAGCTGACCTCTGTGGAGGCCTTCAGCTCTGGGCTTCTGCATCCAGGAGGCCTGTGGCTGCCACCTCCAGAGGAAGAGGGACAGTGACACTCAGACAGCCCTCCCCTGATGGGGGGGTCGCCCTTTTACCCACCCCGGCTGGCCCTGTCGTAGTGGGAGGTTGAGACCTCTGTCCTCCCAGCCCCCGAGACCTGACTGTTCCCTCCGGGCGGAGCTGCCTCCCTGGCTGCCCCTCCAGCTGCATTCGGTAAAAAAACAACCTCTGCAGAGCCCGCCAGCTGCTGTCCCGCCATTGTGCAACCCTCTGGCTCCTGTGCAGTTCCAGCTGCTGGGCCGCCACCCACCCCTCCGCGTGTCCCGTGAAGATGTAAACAGCATGCTCACAAGGCCAGCGCCCCCCAGGAGGAGCGCCCTGCCCCAGGCTGGGTCCTCCGTGAACACCTGGAATCCCACAGGCACAGGTCCCCATGTCCCAACACCCCACATGACAGAGGCAGAAACTGAGGCCTGGAGAGGGTGAGGACCTGTTCCAGGTCACACGTGAGCCAGTGGCCGGGCTCCAGGTGACCAGAGCTGGGCTTCCGTCTGTCCCATCAGGCAGCCATGGTGCAGCTGCTGCAGGACAGACCTCCACAGCCCTGACGCGCGGCCCAGCCAGTGCCTCCAGGAGGGCAGCCCTGCCTCCCACAGCTCACCTGTGGGTCACACATCTTCCTTCCTGCTCCCTCTGGGGTAAGTGGGTTCAGAACAGAGGAGCACAGATGGAAATTTCAGAATGGGTCAGAGCTGAAGGAGCAGAGGAGTGCCTGGGGCTGTCACCCACACCTGCTTCATTCCTCCTGACCATTCCCTCTGTGACGGGCCAAAGAATGGTCTGCAAAGGCATCCATGTCATGACCCTCGGAGCCCTGGAACGTCTTATATGGCAAAAGAGACTTAGCACATGTGATCAAGGCAAATAGCCTGATCCTGATTGTAGGATGGGCCGATGTGACACAAGGGTCCTTATAAGAGGGATGCAGAAAGAGCCAGCAGAAGTTAGAAAGTGGGATGATGGAGCGACAGGCGGGGGCTCTGTGGGGGAGGCTGAGAATGCAGAGGACCTTCTAGAAGCTGGAAATGCAAGGAAAGCAAGGAAATGGTCCCTTCAGAGCCCCCAGAAGGAGCCATCGCCTGACTCCTTGAGTTTAGCCTGGACAGACTGACTGTAGACTCCGGCTTCCAGGACTGCGAGAGAAGGAGTGTGTGCTGTGTTAGTCGGCGAGGTTCATGGTCATTTGTTATGGCAACCACAGGAACCGCACCTGCTCTTCAAGCTGGCCTCCAACTTCACTCCCTCCAGGAGGCCCCACCCTGCCCACGCCGAGGGCCTGGGGACCCTTTAGGGCCCTCGTGGCCTCCGGTTTCTGGCTTATTTGCTTGTTCCTCTGGATGTTGACTGCTTCTTGCTTCCCCACCCCCTAGAAACATTGGCTCCAGGAGCTCATGAACTTTGCTTAAACCCCAGCCGTGTCCCCAGAGCCAACCCCAGCGCCGGGGCAGAGCAGGTGTTCAGTGAATGGATCTTAGTTTGAATGAGACTCGTGGGCTTGAAAGTTCATCTCAGCTCTATAACTCTGGGGCCCATGTTGCCATGTCACTCCAAGCAAACCCCAAATCCAGTATCCAGGGAAGGCCAGGATGCCAGGCATGGGAAGAGGCAGGAAGAAGAGGTGGGGGTGGGAGGAAAATGGCCCCACTGTCCTCATAGCTACCGATCCTCTAAGCCTCAGGATCCTCTCTGAAAGTGGACGAGCCACCTTCACTCTGCAGATACCCCCTCCGAAGGAGCAGCCCATGTGCTGCCCTGCACCCATGCAGCTGTCACTCAGCCCCTCTCCCAGGACCTCTCCAGGCTCCAGGGACACCCCAGGCAGGAGAACCTCCAAGGGGAAATCCCCTCTCCTCTTTACATCGCCAGTTCCTGCCTCGGTCCCACTCCCTCCTCTCACTTCGGAAGAAGGAACCCCTCCTCCCTGGGCTCTGGGGCCACCCTCCACGGCTCCCCAGAGGAAAAGAGCTCTTATCTCACCTCCCACCAGCTGAGAGCTGCCCTCTCCCTGAGCTGCCCAAGTCCTCTCCTCTGATGTTTTATCATCACCCCACACAGTGGTCACAAGCCGCACTCAACTTCCTCTCCCCAAAGAGCTCCCTTTTGCCTTCTGGGGTCCAGAGGAGAGGTCGCAGGTTGGCCATCCGCAAAGCACTCCCTAACCCGCCGTTCTCCTTTGACAGCTGTTCACACGTTGCAGGGTACAGGCCCTGACAACTCAGCTCGGATCACCTTCTTGACCTCCTGTGTCTGCCCGAAAATGCCAGGGAAGGAGGCAATCACCTCGAGAGGCAGGACGTCAGTGACCTTTGTGGGGAGAGAGCTGTTGATGGGATGGGCTGAAGGGAAGTTCCGGGGAGTCAGGACTTGGATGCTGGTCATCTGGGGTTTGCTTTATGATAGTGCATTGGACTGTTAGGTTTCTCTGCAAATTCTCCCAAACCAGCAAGCCCAGCCCTTCAAACCCAGGCAAGGTAAACGTCAGAAGGATGTGCACAGCACACACAAGTATGTGCGCTCACAGCTCACATGTGTGTGCACACTCAGATGCATGTATGCATGGCACAGCACATGTGAGTGCAAACACAGCTCACATGAGTACACATACACTCAGATACATTTGCGTGGCATAGCAAATATAAATATAAGTGTGTACACTTCCACCTCACATGAATTTGCACACACAGATGCATGTGTGCATGCCACAGCACATGTGAGTATGTACAGTCAGAACTCACATGAGCTCATGCATGCGTGCATGGGCACAGCACACATGGGGTGAACCTTCTAAAAGCTGACAGATACGCTTGAAACAGTTTTATTTTTTCAAAATCATTTTTACTGTGAAGTGTGGCACATATAACAATGTGCCACAAACCTAACAGTCCAATGCACTATCACAAAGCAAACCCCACATGACCAGCACCCAAGTCCTGACTCCCCGGAACTTCCCTTCAGCTCATCCCATCAACAGCCGTCTTCCCACAAAGGTCACTGACGTCCTGCCTCTTGAGGTGATTGCCTCCTTCCCTTTATAGTTTTGCCACCTAAGCAT